CCCCCCAACTAATCAAACGCTCCTTTCAGGTAAAAGTCAAGTCCTCCTGAGTCCCTGCACGGATGCTGGACTTCATCACACCCACTCAGAGAGAAACCATCAGACTGAATGTTTGAAAGATAAAATTTCACTTTTTTATAATGTTTTCAGTTTAAATGATTCCAGACTTTTATTTAAGAGGACAGATTTATTTTAAAACGTGTTTTGAGCCACCTGACTGATGAAATTAAATGTATTTTGTGTCTTTCACACTGCAAAAACATGTCCACCTAACCAAGTTTTAAAATCTTATTTCAGCCAAAAAGTCTTGTTGATCTTGTTTTAAGACTGATTTATACTGAATACTTGATTTGACTCAGTTTTTTTTAATTTCAAGAATCTTAACAAGTAAAATTTTCTTACTCCATTGGCATAAATTTTCACTTAATTTGAGTCAAATTTTCAGACTAACAAGACAAATAATCTTACACATTCTGAAAACAAGATGATTATTCTTACACAATCAGTTCTTGTTTAGTAAATCAGTCTCAAAACAAGATCAAAAATACTTTTTGGCTGATATAAGAGTTTAAAACTTGGTTAGGTGGGCAGTTTTTGCAGTGCACATTGTTGTGGTTTCAGTTTATCAGTTGAATTGATTGAATTTAATCACAGCCTCTGTTAATTAAACGTGATCTTATCAGTTTTATTTGTGCTGTTAACAGAACCACAGCTCACCTGAGAAACTGCTTCAAAATATTGAACGGTCCCAGAAAATCTGATGACCTGAAAGGATCGATCAGTCCTGCAGAGAGCAGAGCTGATTCTGAGCTTGTTTCATTTCGTTTTTAATACTTCACCTTTTGGCTTTTTATTTAATAGTTTTTAGAAACGAAGGTGGAAAAAAAGAGAAAGAAGTGATTGAGACGTCTGGCTTTCAGGCCCGTTTAATGGTGCAGTTCTACCATGTGAGACAGTTCAGTTCTTGGTTCACTGAGGAGGCAGCAGGGCTTTGGACTGGTCCACCATGTCCTGCAGGAACTTCTCCATCAGGTCAGCCAGAGGTTTGACCTGGGTCTGCAGGCTGTCCCTCAGGGGCTTCATCTGCTCCTCGATGTTGCTGAAGTAGGGCTTGACCTGCTCCTGCAGCTTGGTGGCCTCGGCCTGGACCGACTCCATCAGGGGCTGGATCCTGTCGGACCGAGGAGAACAGATTAACACTAAAAATGAAACCAATCCTGTCACAACTGTGGCAGAGATGTTCTGCTTTGATGTTTGTTGTTATATTTCTTACATTTCGAAAGACAATTTGTTCATTTTGGAAGCTTTAAAACATTTTATGTTCCTATTTTCCTGAAATAAACTGCAGCAAATGGAATAATGTTAAGAAATAAAAATAAAGCCTTTTTTAAAATTTGAATATTGACTGTTTTGTGATTTTTTTGGACACGTTTTAGATCAATGGGCAACATTTTAATTCTTTATTTAATGGGGTTTAACAATATATCTGTATGAATCAATAAACACTATGGAACAATACAGATTTTTAACATTTATTTTATCAGCTTGTCTTCTGAAGATGCTCTGTGTTGAAGGATCAGTGGATCTGTGTTCGACTACTCCACCTGGGCTGCACTGTGGAGCACAGATCCACTGAGAAACTTGCTGTTTCAGCAACATTTAATTTAGAAACTGGACTTTAGAGGTTAAACAAATGTTCAGAATTAATTTAAATAAATTACAAGTTAAGCAGGGCATGGACATTTCTCTTTTTTGTAACCATGATACTAAAATATCGAACTAAATTGTATATTTTCTGCATTGTTGCACCTCTATTATATCTACACCTATTAGACACAAAATCACAGCAACCGTCATGACAAGCTTCAGTTTTATCTTTATCTAACCAAGTTTTAAAATCTTGTGTCCTGCCAAAAAAACAAAAATCTTTTTTGTTTTACTGAACAAGAACAGAACGTGTACGATTATTTATCTTGTTTGCCTGGAAATGTGTCTCAAATTAAGAAAAAATCTGGATGAATGGATGAAATAATTTTACTTTCTGAAATCATTTAATTTGACTCAAATTTTTCTTGTTTCAACAACCTTACAGAGTGAAATAGTTTGACTCCATTGGCTGATTTTTCTCTTAATTTGAGTCAAATTTCCAGGCTAACAAGATGAATAATCTTACACATTCTTTTTAGTAAATCTGTCTAAAAAAAGATTTGGTAACACTTTCTTTTACGGTACACTTATTACCAGGTAATTACAAGGTAATTAAAATGTAATTAAATGGTAATTGCTACCTTGTTACCATATAATTACATGTTAATTACGGTACAAAAGAAAAACTACTGTTAGTAAAACTACATTTATTGGGTAACTCAACACTATATTTATAACCAAAAGAATGCAACTAAATTTTGGGGTTAGTGGTTAATTACAATAAAATATAACTTTAAAACTGTCCAAATGACCTACTACTTACTTAGGTGTTACATAGTGAATTGTTACACATTAACAGGTAAGTGCTACATTACTACAGACAATTAATTACATAGTAAAATTGTACCCTAATTACCACGTAATTACATGGTAATAATAATGTAGTAATTACCATTTAATTTCCATTTAATTACCATTTTTATTACCTTGTGATTAGTTTTTTGGTTGGACATACTTGGTTAGATGGACAGTTTTTGCAGTGTTTACTCTGTGAAAATGGGTTTTGAACAATATTAAGTATATTTAAAACTAGTTAAAATGGTGACAGAAGATTTATGCATCCATAAGACATATTTTTTAACATTGACACAAGTTGTTTCTTAATGAGGAGGTTTTTTATTTTTATTTTTATTTTTTTGGCATTCCGTCCATCCTCCTTACCCAAAAAAAGAAAAAGAAAAAGATCTCTGAATATCTTTTTTTCATAGTTTATCTTAAAAAGAGAATAAAGAGTTTCCCTGTCAGCGCACGCACGCACACACGCACGCACGCACGCACGCACGCACACACACACACACACACACACACACACACTCGTCTCTTACTGAGCGTTGTTGGTCATCTCAATAGTCTTCATCCTGTCCACCATGTCCTGTGTTGCAGAGGACAAGCTGGTGGACATGTCCCTGAAGAGCTGGCTGATCTTGTCCACGTCAGACTGGACGTCCCGTCTCACCAGTGTCCTCGCCTCGGAGCCTGGAAACAAACCAGCAGAGTGTTTAAAATCCAACTGGCTCCACATGAATGAAGACAAACAAAGATCAGAGATCAGCTCCTGTTGAAAGATTCAGGTTTTTATTTTGGTCTAAAACTTGGTCTCTAAAATGTCAGTAACAGGTAATACAAACTGAACAGACTGAGTACAAATGAAAAACATTTAAATATATATTTTGGTGTCTTACTGTAGGCAAAAGCCAGAAGCATTAAGAGAGCGGCAACAAGGGAGAATTTCATGGCTGCAGAGGATCAAGACCGACCTGAAAACAGAAACAAAGTTCAGTCAAATCTGACTAAAATGAGCTGAAATTAAAACTAAATAAGACTTTTTAAAATATATATCATTTCTCTGATTATCCAGTGAAGCTCAGCTGGTCTTCCTGCAGCAGACAGACTCACCTGAGGTTCCTGGAGGTGATGGTGGCTGCTGACAGACAGCCTGGGGCTTTTATAGCCTCAGACGATGAGTTTAATCAGGTCTGCTCAGAGTTTCATCACTTCCACGAAGAAGCAGCAGCACTGAAAGGTCAGAGCAGGCTCTGTGCTGGCTGAACCTTGATGCCTGCTGTTTGTGACGAGAACGATACAAAGTCCGCTCACAGAGTGACACGAGGGGGAAACACATGAATCACCACCACGGCTGACTTCAGCCACACTGTGGGAATATTTCCCTCAACAATGTGAAGATTTTCTTTTCTGCATCCAAGTTTCTGCCTCAGTTTTATTATCTGTTTAAACTGTCACCTGGATACTTTAAACATCTACATGCTTTAATGTAGCTTCTTTATAAACCTTAATTCTGGAAAAACAACCTGGGAGAGTGGGTTAAATCTAAATAAAAGCAGAATGAAATGATTTAAAAAAACACGTTGAAACTAAAGAAATTGTAGTGATTTTGTTGGGTTGAATATATATATAT